TGGCTTGGTGGTGCTCAATTGTGTGTTCCACCTTATACAAGGCTAATTTTAACACCTTTTGTTTGAGGTGAGACAATGAAACTTCTTATTGCCTCCAGTTTAGTTCAGATGCTTGAATTGAAATAAGGCCACTCTTTCTTCATTTATAGAAGATTCATTCCCATTCTTTCTGTGTCACATTTCTCATGCTCATCTCCTGTTTATCTTGGGGTTTTGTGTTTTCAACAACATTTTTTCAATAGCTTTCTGCTTTCTTTGGTAAATAGTGAATGTACCGCTGATTATAAATGAGGGAATGAGTGTCAAGAAGAGGAAAATCCAGAAATGTAATGGTTCCACTACTTCACAATAGGAAACAGCTTGAAGGTCCTTTGAAGGCAGAAGAATAATCAGTTAATAGTGACATTCTGTGACCACCAGCATAGACCAAAGCATCTGCTATCCCATTGAGGGGCCCTTGAAATCTTTGCCTAGAGAAATGGTCATAAATATTAAATGTTAATTATGGAAATATTTACTGTCATTTTTCTTCTGAATAGCAATTGCTTAAATTGTTTGTTGTTATTCTTTATTTTATTTTGCGATTCCTGTAACTTTCAAACGAGCATTTGCACATTATGGAAAATCTTTAAAAGAATAAAAAGTAATGGTGCCAATCTTAAAAATGACCTGTAGAAAAAGAGGATCAGCTATGGTATGTTTTATTTTTTAAAAGAAAGTCATTAAAAAGAAATTCAGATCTGCTTCTGTTAAAAATGTTAAATCTTTAAAGCAGAACCAGCAGGACCAAACACTGGCTTTGGCCGGCTGTGCTGGCAGACACAACTTGCATAATCTTTCTCTTCCATTCTTCTCCCCCTGAAAAAAAAAATCCTAATACTATCCTGCAGTGCGGGGTCTGCTTTTTTTCCAAATCAATCAAGTGTTGATCCATTGGTTATGACAGGAATTGATTGATCAGGTTGTCACCCAAGAATGTTGTCATGGGCTGAGAGAGAGTGACTGCCCCAAAGTCATCCAGCTAGTTTTCATGCCTAAGACAGGACTAGAACACAATGTTTCCTGGTTCCTAGCCTCAACTGAGTGGTGGGAGAAGAACCCTGAAATTGAATAGGGTACAAATTATGGTAGAAGAGAGGAATCAGAAAGGAAAGAGGAGACAAACAAATTTTCGGTCAAAAGTCTACTAGGTATGAGGCAGGTGAAATGAAAGCACTGTTTCATGATTCCACCATGATAGAAGGATTTGGAGAGGCATGTTGTAAGATGTATGATAGGGCCTCAAATGATTACTAGAATGAGTAAGCAAAGTCATAAGTGAAGTAGTAATCTTTTTGATGTCATTGTTCAAAAGCTATTTAAGACTTTTATTGGTTAAAAACAGCACTTTGAATTGGGTTTTGAGTCACTGCTAAAAAATTAGTGAGGAGGGATAGTGGTGTGCTCCATTTTTTCTGTCTCTATATACATATACATAAGATGCAATTCCCCAGGCTGGCAATTAGTGGTATTTAGCAAGCGTTGCAAATTACCTCATTGTATTGTGAACTCTTCCATACTCTGTATTCATGCTAAGAAAGAGTTACTTAACAATCTACTGCAATTTGAAAGTAATCACTTTTGCTTTGAGGTTCTTACAACTTGTATGTAATTACTCTCACTTCAAACCTTTTATCTGCATTGCTACTTACAACAATTAAGATAAAGAGAAGGACATGAACTTTGTAATGTGACCCCATGGAAGGGAGAGCCAGATAGCCCCATGCTAGAAACAATGTCTCATGTATCAATATCTTTGACAGAGTTATTAATAAGATGTGTCACCAGACCATCTTCCCATAGTGCACACTGGAGACAATGCATTACTTAAACAAAATCTTTGGTAGTAGATCAGTTATGTTAATTGTAACCAAATCATGGATAAAATGTACCACCAAGCTATCACCGAGAGTTCTATTGTTTAGTCTCTTGTAAAAAGTATAAAAGTTGGCAAAATACTCCAAATACCAAGAACTTCAACATAGACCTAAAGTCCTGGGAAGGTGCCACTCGGGCCCGATGGCTCCAGAAGATTTGCCCATTGTAATTTCATGGAATTACTGATAAGTCGAAGGATAACTCAAAGGGTTATAGTTTGGTATATCTTTCCTTTTCTTTGTAACTGTCTTAATATTTATTCAAAAAACCCCTTTTTTGCATTTGCCATGATTTGAGCCTCTAGTATTGTTTTCCAATCCCAGTTCTGATTGGCTACCAGCTGGGTATCAGTATAATAGGCCAAGACACAACTTGTAAATTAATGAAACTGATACCAAGATGACATGATTCTTAAATTTACATGGACAGCAACTGGAAGGCTACATTTTGCATCTGAATTGAGACTGATTTCTGAATGCAGAGATAAATATGATGCATATTTAATTGTTTCACTTCATTTTTACTCTGAAAAATGTGTCTCTGAGACTGAGATGAAATAGCTTTCCACTGTGTCTGGTTTGAAATCTCAACTTACATTTTTCATGCCTAAACTAAGCATTTTATGCGGTACAATGTATCGGTTAACATAAATACAGATTCTAAACAATTCTGCTACTGTACTCCATGGGCCAGTGGAAGGGGTACTTACGAAGCATCTATTGTAAATTTGTCACGGAGCATTAATTTGAGCAGTTCTTGGTCCTGTGTAATAATGTAGTCACATTTGTTTGGCTTTTCAACGAAGACTGTTGGTGTCAAAAGTTGCATTTAGAGGGACACATTGATGTTGAATGTCTCTACTCCCCTTTCATTTTATTTCTTGTAGTTCCCAGATTACTCTTATTTATTCCTGATGTTCACATCATTCAGGTCATATCAATGTGTTACTATTGCAGAACACCTGTGCAAAAGTCCAATGTCCCATAGTCCAGCATTTTCACCACCCAGATCATTTAAAAGAATCAGCCAAGGTTCTATCTTCCCCCTCTTTTTCTTCCTCTAGCTCAGGAGTAGTCAACCTTGGCTCTTTTATGACTCGTGGACTTCAACTCCCAGAATTCCTGAGCCAGCTAAGCTGGCTCAGGAATTCTGGGAATTGAAGTCCACGAGTCATAAAAGAGCCAAGGTTGACTACCCCTGCTCTAGCTGATTTCAGGGGAAAGGAAGAAGCTGAGTGCACCAATAGCTTTCCTCCTAAGCTTGTCTGAACTCTTTTTAAAAGAAAACAAAAAATGGGGAAAGCAGTAGTATTGATTCCTAGTAAGAGGAGAAAAAAGACTTTAGGGAGACAGGATCATAGCGAAAAATGGCAACAATCACATGCAAAAAAAAAAATGTATGTGAGAAGGCCCAGGTTACCACTGTAAATGAAGCAAAGTTGTATTGACCTCCACCAGTGGCTTGTAAAAATGCTGCTCTTCCTAAAAATAAAATTACACTATGCAAATCTGATCTCCAACCTATGATATGGAGGAGACATTTTTATTTAACAATAATTTCTGAACTGTAAATAGAAAGAGGGATGAATTAATTTTTTAAAATTCCTTTAATAATACTCCCTTTTATTTGATGAGTTAGAACACAGACTTTTTCTCAGTTATAAATTATAATCATTACACTTTCTCATTCAATAAGGTAGATTTTCTGTTTATTCCCTTATTTGTCTTTTTAAGATTTCATCCTAGCTTTAATAGTAGACGATTGATTGAACAAACTCCAGTGATTATTCAGCTGGCTGACTCCCTATCCAGCTATAGCGTGAAGCTGCTGGTTGAATGCAGAAGGACAAGCGAATTGGTTCCAAAGCCTAGAAAATAAGACAGTTTGCTTTTTATTTGCCAGATGGTTGTGATTCAAGCTAATGTAATCACAAGAAATGTCCCAGAAGAGCTAGTATGTGTGTTTCGGCATTCTTTTAGTGTCCATAGTAGTGGCATGATGTCCTTGCTATCTTCCACTTACATTAAGCTGGCATTAAACTGAATAGAAAGGTTTTTGAGCCTCACTCACTCACCAAATGGCAAATATCCAATGGAAAATCAAAGAAAGCATGCAAGAGCATAAAAATGAAGAGTTAAAATGTAGACATTTCACAGAAACTCTTTATTTTGAAAACATATATGAGTGTCCTTCATATATAATCAGTAGCAAAAGCAACACAAACATTTGATCCCTTGTTTGCCATTAGAATATTAAAGGTAGTCCTCAATTTATGACCACAATTGGGCCTGGAATTTTGTTTGTAAGTCCAGGCAGTCATTAAAACTTGACTAAATTTTACAACTGTTTTTATGATAATAGTAAAGCTTGTCACGTTAAGTGAGCCATGTGGTTGTTAAGTGAATCATGTCTTTGTTAAGTGAATCTGGCATATCCAATGGCCATTTTTTTGCCATTTTCTGCTGTGAGCTAGTTGCCTAACACTTGAAATGTGGTGACATGATTGGGATGGGTGGTGATGTTTTATGGTGGTTGGAAGTGTTTTATAGGCCACAAATCATCCTTTCCAAGGCCATTGTAATTTCAAACTGGTGAGGCAACCGGTTGTTAAGCTGGGACAACCTGTAATGCCAATTTCACCTTCCTACAGATTCTAATCTGTTGCATCCCCTTTCTTACTTCTTCTGTCCTCCCAAACTACCCACTTTGTAAAATCCATCTTGATGTGGAGGACCTGGAGCAAGGATTAGTCATCCCTAAGCATGTTTATTTTACTAAAACATATATAAAATATTCTGTGGTTAATTTTATGCAATCTGTTTTTCTTAAGACAGCGTTGTGTGTTTATAATAATTACTAATGTACACAAAGTATGCATTGAGGAAGAAGCATTAACAACAGCCATTGTCAAAATGCTTGCATTTAACCCACAATGCAGGGAACACTTATTGCCTTGTAGATTACAGTTTATTATGATGCTGTACAATTTAGAATGGCATGCTAACAGAGCACCATGTGAGGGCATCTTCTTTCGTCTAAATTCCATTACAGTAATAAGCAGCCTTTCTCCTATGTTTCCCTAGCTATCCGTTTCCCATGATGTTCAGCAGCTGCAGCAAGAAAGACCTGGAAAACAGCTTGGAGAAAGGTGTGGGGATGTGTCTCTTCAACCTTCCAGAGGTTAAGGAATCATTTGGTGGCCCCAAATGTGGGAACGGCTTTGTAGAAGAGGGAGAAGAGTGTGACTGTGGTGAACCTGAGGTAGGAGTAACACTCTCTGTTTTAAAGGAAGACCAAGTTCATTTTGGAATATTGCACCATATTTTCATCTACTTTTTTCAAATTTTTCATTGCAGTACTCAAATGTCTAAATAAAATTGTCATACTATTCTTTCTAAATGCCTGTGGGCTGGTGTTTCCCAACCTAGAGGCCATATCCAAGACCATGATATTCTACAAAGTTAATATTACATAAAATGGTGTTTTTCAGCCTCAGCAACTCACATCAGACATGCGGAATTCCTCCCAGAATTCCCATGGTGGTTGGGGAATTCTGGGAGTTGGAGTCTACACATATTAAAATTATTGAAGTGAGAAACATTGACATAAAGGATGGATGATCCATTATGCAGAAGAATGTTCCCTGAGCCATATTATGCAAAGGCCATTCAGTTACAGACTTGGAACAGATGGCTCTTTTGCTAATACCCTGTTTTTATTTTCTATGGCTGCACAAAACCATTTCCCCAAATCCACTGATTTATGACTCTTCTCTTCAGTATAGAGTTGTTAGCATAAAAAACATGCCGGATAAGATCCCTTTGTTTAATTTATATCTTAGCATCCATTGTCACCATACTAGGGAGTGGGGGAAATTGTTCAGATAATCAAAACTAACTATATCAGAAGATGATGGATTTATTTTGGGGGTTTTTTTCCTAATACATAATAAATTGAGAGGCACTGAAATAGCAAGAAATCACTTTAGTTTTCTATATAGTTTATTAAATTGATTGAAGTCATAAAGATTTCCTGACAGCCCACTCATTTCTTGAGGTAGACATATCCTGCCTGATGCTTGCAAATTCACGATAACTCAGATCTTTCTTGTTTCTTTTCTCCATCTTATTAATACTTTTTAAGTAAAAATATAACATTGTCATGAAATAGGTCAAACTGTGGCAAATCTATTACATTAATCAAAGTTGCATTATATCACTAATTTAACCCAGGATCTACACATCAATATAATTCAAATCCTTGAAGAGAGCGAGGTGTCCTGTGTGAAAATTCTTCTAAAACATGCATGCAAAACTCATTTTATTAATTGTTAAGCAATTCTAGGAGGCATGTTTTGTTGATGGAAATCAAATATCAGATTTCAAATGAACAAAACAAAAACAAAGGTATCTGGGGATCTTAGTTAGCTATTTTTTTGAAATTGGGTCACTGTGAGGGGGTGGACTGAAAATTTGATCAAGAAACCTACAGATCTTGAGTTGGTAAAATTACTTACAGATGAAATAGGAGGGAAATTTTCTTCTTGTAAACTTCTTAGGTGAATCTGACTGATTAAAAGTGACTGATGCCCCAAAGAGATGTAATGGCATGTGGGAATAACCCTGGGGGTGGGGAGAGATGCTGCCTAGGGAATGGTCTGATAAGATAGGGCGTAGCCAGCAGCTGCATAACGGGTGGAGAAAGAGGCTCAGACGGGACCCTCTGATGGTGAGAGAATTTTACTTTTAGACTTGCATGATTCCGTTACTGTAACCTTGCAATGAAATATAATTTAATCATCTGGTTGTGTTTCCTGTGTGGTCTACCTGGGAAAGCTGACAAGAGACGCATCTTGGATTTACTTCTTCAGTATTTTTTTTTTAAATCTCTGCTTGAACAGGTAGATCTTGACTTAGGACCACAATTGAGCTCAAAATTTTTGTTGCTAAGTGAGACAGTTGTTAAGTGAATTTTGCCCCATTTTTCGACCTTTTTTTCCACGGTTGTTAAATGAATCACTGCTGCTGTTAATTTAGTAACACTGTTGTTAAGTGAATCTGGCTTCCCCACTGACTTTGCTTATCAGAAGGTCGCAAAAGGGGATCACATGACCCCCGGGACGCTGCAACCGTCAGTTGACCAAGCATCTAAATCACATGACCGTGGGGATGTTGGAATGGTTCTAAGTGTGAAAAATGATCGTAAGTCACTTTTTTCAGTGCCATTATAACTTCGAATAATCAATAAATGTGCAGAAATTTTGTTGAATGTTTATAAACTGCTTCCTTTCTGTAAAAACTGGTAGAATTTACAGTGAAGCTAATTTCAACTCAGGATTGGAAGAAACGTCTTAATGATAAAAAGAAATTTTAGAGTGAAGTGGATTTCCTTGAGAATTTATGGATTCTCTCTTGCTGGTACATTTAAGTAGAGGCTGAACGGCCATCTGTTCGGTATGCTGTCATTGTTAGATTCCTGTACTGACCTTCAAGATCCTTTCAACTCTAACATTCCAATTTATTTATTTATATATTGATCAGGTTAATACCTGATGCAATTAGCCAGATTCTCTGCAATTACCATAATTAGGAGCAAATAAGAGCCACTTTAAAAACAAAAACTTCTGTATAAAGCCAGTGTATACATGACAATTAAATCAGAAAAAAGAAACAAACATTTCTGCCTGTCCTGTCACTTCCTATAGGCCTTCTGCAATATCCCAATCTTCAAAAGATTCCAGAAGGCTACAGTAAGTATGTCTGGGAGTTGTGGAGATTTGATCTCTACCAGAGGCTCTTCCATAGCTCTTCTACCAATGAAAAATACCCTTTATGGGCCTTCAGACAATAGGATAGGATGGGGTTTTACTAACAGTTTTTCTTGAAATTCCTGAATTCAGGCAACCAATTATGGTTGGAGGAAGCAGTCCCTCAAGTATGTGCAGTCCAGCACACTGGGGATTTTCTAGATATCTGCACTTTTAACCGAAGCTGACAGTGTCAACTGAAGCTGATACTTCACTGACAGACAGTGCAGTACCCAGAGTACAGATGGAAAGTACTCACAATATGCTTATATTTCATAATATGCCCATGTTTGGGAGATTTGGTTTTTCTTTCTTAAAAAGATAGGCTACTCAGACCTTTGCACCACATTTTTAATTACCTGGCTAAAAAGAGATTGTAATTTTTTAAAGGAATATTTAGATGCTGATGATAAATGTAGGCATTTTGCTATTTTTGGAATCCAACAGTGTTTATCATCCTATGAGAGAGAGAGGGGGGGGAGGGAGGGAGGGAGGGAGGGAGGGAGGGAGGGAGGGAGAGAGAGAGAGAGAGAGAGAGAGAGAGAGAGAGAGAGAGAGAGAGAGAGAGAGAGAGAGAGATTTACTTGTTGCCATTAAATAGTCAGTGTTAACCTCTTGATTTCAAGTTTTAAAAGTGATAGCAAATATTCAATTTTTCAGCACTATTTATGAGCATCAGTGCTATCTCCTTAGTTGCATAATTTATTCAAGTGTGTTGATTTGAACAGCATGCATCTGAAAAGGCTACTGGAATAATCAATCTTTTCCTATATCTATCCATTGAAAATGTTGAGCATATTTGTTCTTCATTCCAAGTAAAAGACTTTTCACAAATCAACTCAGTGAAAATTTTCTATCCCTATTCTTTTAAGTATCTGCAATAGGATCAGTTAGCCATATCTTCTGTTTTTTCCTTAAGGTCTGCAAAATACAATAAAAGTAATAACTTGTGTTTCCTCCTTCTGACCTAGTTGCTATCTTATATTATGATTTCAGTATCAGAGATTTCTTATTTGTTCAGTCAGATGGAGTTAAAAGTTGAGTAGTAGTTTTATCTATAGCTATTTTGGTGATGTCCTCAGGGACCTGATGTTCAGGGATCATCAATTTAACTCACTTCCTTCTGACTTTAACCTTGGAAACAAATCCATTTTTTTTCTGAGAGTTCTTATTAGTTCAAACTACAGCAACAAAATATTTATGATCTTATGTGTAGGGAGAAGTACCACGATTAAATTGTGCTCCCTGGACCATTAATGTATTTGTTAGTCAATAGTGCAGATTATATTTGCAACCAATCTTTTATTAGTTTCAGACCTAAGATTTAAAACTATATATCTACAGTAGACAGAATGTACAGCTGAGGCCAAATCTTCAGGTGAACATAACTATTTTTTTGAAGTAATTTCATATCAGTGGTATATTCATTCTCAAGTCAATTACTATATCCACATCCATCATTTATGTTTCTTTTTAATTAAACCTTTATTAATTTATTAATTGGCAAACATTTATAATTTAAAATGCCTTTCACTAACCTTTTGCTAACTTGATGCTCCATAAGAACCCTTCAAATAACAAAGCATTTCCCCCCTTTTTAATACAAAGCCTTGTATAGCCACACCACACAACAGATTAGATTTGACTAAAATGGATTTGGGTAATTTTTGTTTGGTGTGTTGTAAGAATTAATCATTACATACTATGTTCTGTTATCCAAGCCATTGTTTTGAAGCATAATATGATTTGTTTGGGTAAAATTTTTAAATATTCGGAAGACGCAACATTAAAATTCGGTTTAATTCGGTTTTAAGGGGGGGATTGTATATATGTTCTGGTTTTAAATATGTTGTGCGCCGCCCTGAGTCCCTGTCGGGAGAAGGGCGGCATATAAATTAAATTTAAAAAAAAAAAAAAAAAATGTGATTTTTGAACACAACAATTGTGTGTTTTGATAATTTTAACTTAGGCTTCAGTGTGTTGAACCCAACCTGTACATCACTGGTTGCTAACTACCTGACTGTTAGCAAAGAGATTGTTTGGCTACCTTCTTCAGCCCTCCAATGGGATAGATGGCACTTATAGTGATGTCATGAATGAGATTTATAGAGAAATGTCCTCATGATAAGAAAACTAAAAGTAAATGACATATTATAGCTGTCTCCATTTCTCAAAATTGTCACACATAAATATCTATGAAGGGGGAGGGTATAAGTATAGCCCTCAGGCAGAAGTACACACTCTCTTCTGAATCCCAGATGCCACCCAAATTGTAGTTTTTCATGGAATTATAGAAGCTGTTTCAGATTATATTACCTACTGCAGAAATTGGGCAGAACAGAAGGAATTTGCTATACTTTTTTGAAATCTCAATGGAAGGGGAAACGGTGATTCTGCCAATCCTTAATCTAAACCAATTACCATCCCCTGTGACATTTGAGATACTTGAACCGTGAAAGTGAAAAGTGAAAGTGAAAAACATACCAAATAAATAAAGAAGAAATAGGAAGGGCAGTACATGGGAAAGATTATTTTGGATTGTAAAAGCTTTGGAAATGGGTAGCTGCTATTATTATAGAAATCTCTACAAACCATTTCAACAGATGGCATTATATTATACACATACAACAAAATGAAAATGAGAAGATCATATCAAAGTAAGTAGTATTTCTAAGGTGAACCCAAAGGTTAGAACAGATTACTAAGCTAACAATATGTTACCATGCAAGAAAGGTTAATGTCCTTTCAAATTGCATTATCAACAGTATCATTTCCAAGACACTTGAACCAATAATATGACTCTGCTCAGTCTAGAGAATTATGCCAGTTCTAATCAATACAAAATAAATTGGAAGCAATTCAGGGAGAGCAAAAATAGTGATAAAGTTCTAGAATAGAAGATCTGGTTCTCAATGAGAGAGAAAAAAACTTAGGAAGATACTACTAGTTGTAGCTTAAATTACTTGAAGTTTAATTTTTAATATGAAGTGGGATACAATACATACATACATACATACATGCATACGTACATACACTTGAAGTGATCCAAATAGGCACAGAACTAGTTCAAAGAAAGTATAAATTAATATAATATCCTTAACTCCTTTTTTTTAAAAAAAAAAATAGCTCCATAATATTTTTTTAAATATTAAAAGAATTACAGGAAATAAAGTTAGTAGATCAGTTGCCAGTAAACAAAGAACAAGAGTTTTTATTAGCTTGAATAATCTCAGCCTTATAAACTTTAGTTATTGATAGCTTTATAGGAAAGGCTGGCAGAAATATTGCTTTGGTTCGTACTTTTAAATGGCTCTTATGAAAGTAGCTAGTATTGCAATCTGTTCATAATATAGTGGGATTGGTATAGAAATAACTTCTCCGTTTATTGGTTTTTATTGGTTTTTTGCCCTTTATATGATTGTGACCCCTTGCCAAAAAGAATTATTGTTGCAGAAATAGTGGGAACTGCTTGGATAGTCTCAATAACATGTGCTGGTTCATAAAATTAGTGATGCAGTGAAATTCCCACCATAATGGGATGCCACCAACACCATCAAACATTTCCAATGTTTGTTCATGGTGTTATTTCTTAAATACTAAAATAAAGATATGTTAGGAATGTTTTTTATTGTTGGACTGTCATATTGAAAGTCAAGGGCATGTATATAGCACTTGATCCATTGTGAGGTCTAGAGCTGAGAGAGAAAGTCCAAAGTTAGCACAAAGTTAACCATGGCTAAAGATGTAGTTACGCCTGGGTCTCTTCTGTACCATCCTAGCTACTATGCCATGCTGACTCTTAGGAATAGGATCTCTTGGTAGGATATCATCAATAGGACATTTAAGAAAAGAAAAAGTAAGATGAGGCAAGGACGATCCTGAAATCTATGGACTTGACAAATTAATCCAGTACTTAGCCTGAATTTTATTTAATTCTGTCCTTAGAATCAAGTCATCCTGCACACTGAGACTGTATTTGTTACAAACTTGATTGTTTGATGCAACACTATACTATGATTGGTTTTTTCCCCCCATTTAGGAATGTACGAACCAATGCTGTAATGCTACAACCTGTACTTTAAGGCCAGGAGCAATGTGTGCACATGGACTTTGCTGTGAAGATTGCAAGGTGAATGTCTGATCATTCTTCATTTGGGATGGGCAGGATTTCATAGTAATGTTTATGTTGGTACAGATATTCAAGGCTGGGGTGTTTATGTTGGTTCAGATATTCAAGGCTGGGGTATGGGTGTGTTTTCAATAGAATTCTTTGTGTTCCTGTCTTGTAATGATGAAAATTTGGGGGAAGACTATTTTTTAAAGAAAGAGGCCAGCATATCTTCTCCTATAACACAGTGTGTATTTTTTCATATCCTTTGCTGCTAGTATTAATAGATGGAGCCCTGTATGTGCATGCCTACCACGGCAGAGTTCTTTCAGGTTTAAGATGTGTACTTCTGTGTGATGCAGAACATCAAAGCCCTGTACTTGCATTTTAATGAGGAATGAAGGTAGGCCTTTGAAAGTAAGCCATAAACAATTCTGCAGTATATCAATGAGAGGCATATAAAGCACTCTTTCGCCTCTCATGCTGTGTTTAATAGATGCCTGGTACAGAATCTTAGGAAGAGAGAAAAACAACTTTAGCTGTAGCATAAAAGCCACAATATAATACATTTTCTTCTTTGAAACTGAACCCCCTTTTTTCCCCAACAGCTGAGGCCAGCAGGGATTTTATGCAGGGGTACCAGTAATTCCTGTGATCTTCCTGAATTCTGTACTGGAAGCAATCCTCATTGCCCGGCCAATGTTTACTTGCATGATGGGCACTCTTGCTATGGGGTAGACGGGTACTGCTATAATGGGATGTGCCAGACTCACGAACAGCAGTGCATCACCCTCTGGGGACCAGGTGAGCTTGAATACTTGAGCTTTGTATTTTTTTTCTCTAGATATTTATTCACACAAACAAATTAGCACTGGCATTTGGAGGAGGCATGTAATGATTTCTTACCTCTCAGAATTCAAGACCCCAGAACAAATCTTTCCTGCTGCATTTCATCACCACATGCCAATTCTTTCCTCAAGCTGATAGTCAGTGATGCATCCCTGTTGATGCAAATAAGTTGGTGAAGGATATGATAGAAGAATAGAATTAAAATATGCAAAGAATGGTATCTTCTAATTCAATGAACCTCCTTGCCTTAGTGTACATAGAACCTCTATTAACCTATTAAGCTTAAAGTTTTCTGGGAAGTGATTGTTACCACACCATTCTCTGACTATCTCTTGCTCCCAGATGTTTTGGGTACATAGCTTCCAACCAGCATGGAGCTGTGGTTCCAACATATTGAATGACAGGCTCTAGCCTGGAGAAGGCTGAGAGTGATCTTTCAGAAGTCGTCTCAGTCTTCCAGAAGTATCAATTACAGCTTTGTATATGTCAGCATGTCCTCTGCCAAAATGAGCCAGTTTTTGTTTTTGTTTTGGCTGGGTCATAGCCATAGGTTTCACTTCAGACCTGTGCAGTTAGTTAAACATTACATGGAGATTCCCAGCTACCATTATTGACCTTATTTGTACCACCTGAGAACAGCTGCATCCTTTCCTGAATAAAGGTTGACTTGCTTTGCTGAAAGTTACTTAACTGTAAAATGCAAATACTTTCCTACTTCCTCTTAGATGTAATTACTATTATGTTTGCTTAAGCACTTAGAGATTTCTGGGATGAGAGCCACTCTGTAAGTGTGCAGCATTAACTCTGATAGTCATAGCTGAAGATGAATTAGGATGAAATGGTGCCACCAAATGTATTTCCATCAGACTGGGAACCGACCTCAACCATTATCTGGCTTTCACTGATAAAGTAATCTAAATCAAGAACAGAGGAAGTGCATTAGAAAACTGCATATCCATCCACTCCAATCTTTTTGCTGTTGTAGTTCTGCACCATCCCTTTTCCAACATTTCAGTCGTTTGCTACAGTATGTTACTTTTTTCTAGAGTAAGTGCTTTTGACAACAGAATACCGCCAAATGGGGAAATTAGAATGCAAAATAATGACTGCGAGTAATGAGGTCCTAAAAAGGCAAATAGGTGATGAAGTAAGAAATTTAATTAAAATAATATGAGGTTACTTGGATTTCAAGAATCCTTCTCAGAGGTCAGAAGAAAGACTTCAAGAACTAAGTAGTTTGTTCTTTTCAATCAATTTCACTGTATCATTTAACTTCAATTCCTATAGTATTCACTAAAATGCATTTTTTTAATCAGTTGCTGCTGTTGCTAATGATGATGGTGATGATGCGCAGAATAACTGTAGCTTTATTGTATTGTATTTTTACTAGGGAACAGGTGAGGCTCAACTGAGGGTTCTGCAGAAATTTGGATCTGAAGGGCAAAATGTGATTCAGGGCACATGTGGCTACATGCACAGCTTCTTTTGGCTTCCATTAAAGCTGCTTCTGCAGCAAACCTGTGATTCCCAAGAAAATATACATTTGGTATAAGGGATTCTAGGGAGGTGTATTTTGCCCTTCAAATTCAGATCTTTGCACCCGCCTATTATAAATAAAAGTAAAATAAAAAGTCACCTACAGCTACCAGAACACTATTAATGAGCTAGAAATGCTGTGCTAAAAACACATAACTCCTTTCAAATTCCCAGCAGTTATGTTAGTTGTTAAACAAAAACAGAGAAAGTAGAAAAATTAACTTGTGAAGAAAGTTTCCATGCAGCAGATTGTTAAGAAGTTATCTAAAAAATCTTTTTGCATCCAATTGAAGATATACAGTAATTTCAAATTTTCCATTATGCTCAACAATTTCTATTAAGATTTACAGTTGCTCTCATGATTTAAAAATGTTTCAAATTGTTGTATACCATAACACTATATCTATTTTTTTTAAAAAAATAATAACATTAACATTATAATTTATTTCAATAAAACATCATAGTAGAAAGAAAGTTTGATATGCTATACAGAATCCCATGTTAAAGAAATATTTCAGAAACTGAATTCAGGACAAATCTGTGTTACATAAGAAAAGTCCTATTCTTTTCCTTCTGCAATCTCTGCCTTTAAATTAAAATGAAACTTTTTAATACTTCATTTCTGTAAAGTTGCATTGCTATAGCTGTGACCATAGTAATATGATTGATGGTTATGTAGAGTAGAATGCATTTGGATATTATCTACTCCTTTTATTGGCATTTCCAGGAGGTGCTTAGATATGCAGATAAATCCATTGGCGAAAGAAATATTGATTTTTCCGAGAGAAAAGAAGCCTCAACCTTTAACAAACTGAGACTTTCTAAGCCTGCAGAGAAATGAATCCTTACTTTAAATTCATGAAATCGAATGAAGGTCCTGAACTTGCTTTAATGGGAATAGTTATGATGATGACTAAATACTATCATCAATATTGTGATATGACTGTCACAGATTATAAATGTATGTTGTTTACTATGAGAATCAGTTGTCAGGATAAAATATAAGACAATTGTACAGAAAATCCCACAAACACAGGATTCTTTAACCATTCAGTTGGCTATATATCTCTGCCTCTATATTCTGGTTTTTTGTTTTGGTTTTTTTGCGTTTTTTGAAATTAACACCCAAAGTACCCTATAGTACTTTTAAAAAGAATAGGGAAGCTTTTACAAAATTCCAGAAGGCATCTTACAGAACAGTCCTTTGGATTTTAAGTCCAATTGTTCTGAAACAGAAAAACAAACATATCTATCATCACAAGAGTCTTCCTACAACTAGTATTTAGATGTCCATTTATTCCTATCCTCTCTTTTCTGCCTTTTAATCAGTTATTCTAACCATAAGAGGACCTGTCACTGTAACCCATAATTATTCAAGAATTTTTAGTGACAAAAGCTGTTGAAGATCTAAATATGCCATGTCAAATGAATCCTCTATATCAGAGGTGTCAAACTCAATTTCATTGAGGGCTGCATCAGCATTGCGGTTGTCCTCGGGGGGAGCGGGGTGGTGGCCAGGGGGGGTGCGGCCTACTGGGTGAGCGTGGATGGAGTGGGTGTGGCCTACTGGGTGGGTGTGACCAGCTCTACATCATTCGCGTCAAGGGTGCCTGTGGGGGCCTGGGCAGGAGTGGGACAGATCTGAGGGTCTCTGGCAGAAGGGGGTGGGACCAGGGCAGAGCCCATCAAGCCGGATATGTGAAGTAGGCGAGGGCCATTTGCTGGCCACTTCCAGGCGATGGTGCATTTCTTCATTCCTCACAAAGGGTGACACCTCCCCAGCATGCACCCAGGGAGTGGGGCCAACGTGGCAGGGGCTGGTTCCTCGCTGTTTCCAGACAGCCTTGTGGAGCTAAGACTGAATGTGTTTCAGCATAGATGGCCACCACAAAATTGTACATTGGCTCCCAGCCGGCCTGGGCCAGGGCCAAGGCAGCGGGGGCCGTTCCCTCACTGTTTCCAGGATGGCTTCGCGGGCCACATGAAACCACTTCGCGGGCCGCATCCGGCCCCTGGGCCTTGTGTTTGACATGTCTGCTCTATATATACATGTCTATTTATTTATTTATTTATGTACGTATTTATTTTTATCCTACCTTTACTGTTTTTATTAAAATAGAATATATGGTTTTTTATTGAGAGTATTATGTTTATACTCTCTAATAATTCCCCATTCTCCCCTATTTCTCATTCTCCAGGCAAAGCAGAGAGCAATTGGGATGGGGAAAGGAATAGCAACAGCAGCATCCCTAGCCCACCAAGCTTCTCAGTTCCTGCTTCATACAGAAGGGAGCATTTAGCCTAGCTAGTGGGGAGATGGCTTAACTGGGCATTGGCTGCACACTGGCCAAACTGGTGACAACTACTGTGCTCTGGCTGGAGCAGACCCTGAAGAGACATAGTGTGGCAAGCCAGGAGGAGAAAGTCCCTTCACCATGACTCTCAGCAGCATCTGCCACAGCCGAGTGCTTTTCCTTTGGTTATCTAACATGCAGTTGCAAGTATGAAAAAGTAACCAACCTCTGTAGGGCAATCAGTTTAATTAAAAAGATGGCTAGATTCAATAATTGAGTATGCCCTTAAATAATGGTGACAATTTAGGCTAGCTCTGGCTAATATAAATCTCATAAGCTTTGACTCCCCTTTTCATGATAAGTAATTAGTTTCAGTTACAAAAGATCAAGATGATAATGGAGGGTAAAAAGAGTAAAAAACTCAGACTGAGCTTAAACTGAGCAGATGATTCTGGAATGTGCAGAATGCATATGGGTAAATATACATGTATTAAGCAAAGGCTTTCAAAGAGCACATTAGCTCTATGCCCTTTTGAAGATAACCAAGAACTGGTCAGCAAATTAAAAAAAAATGAGTAGTTGATTCACCAGGCTTATAAAAAATGGATAACAAGGAAATTGAGTGCCAGATCACAAAAAATAGCCAGCACAATAAAATATTTGTGAATTATTTGAGTTCATTGAAACAAAAGCTGAGCATTGGTGCTGAATTAAATGCTGTCTTTAAATCCATGAAACTTATAGTGGTAGTAGTTAGAATACTTTTCTGTTATAGTATTTGATACAGCGCTATATAGTAATTGATGGTTGATTGCCCCAGTTGAACCCAGCTAGTTTCTCAACCAATACCTTAAACTGATCCAGTCCATCAATTGATTTCCAATCAAAATGTCAAGTACAGAGTTTACAAATTATGTTTAGTATATTAGACAAAAAAAATCACAGATACGATTTTTCCCCTTTCTTACAAATTGGTTCATTGGCTTCAATCGTTAAGGGGGCTAGAGGAAATTATTGGTAGGGTGAATAAAAAAAGTCCATACTGGGTCTTCCCATGATGACCTCTTAGAATGGAAGAATTACTCCTTTAGACATTTCACCAAGAAATATCGGCAAGTTTTCCTG